GAATGTAGGCCAAACACTCTTAAGTGCAGTGTGGACTCTTCCAGCATGCTTATTAGTGGTTTATGAAATATTCACAGCATTTTACAAATATGACAACTTTCCTGAATACTGATGAGACTTACACGATATATCCATCAACTCTAAAGACATTAAGATGGTTTGGTAAATGTTCGACTTATTATCTCAGTGCAAAATTGGTTCATAGAGGTAACCCTTGTGTTGTCCTCGGGTCAAAAATGACCCCTAGGTGAATGGCAAACAAGTATATGGGAATGCCGAGGACAACACAAGAATAAATGATAAAATGTTGATTTAAAAGTTTAGTGATTTTCATTAGAATAACATATTGTATGTATCCTAAAAGTGAGTTCTCTTTTTAACTTACTCTTCTCTCCCAGGCAATGAAATTTGGATGTATAGAGCTGATCAGTTGGAGACAGGCTACCCGAAAAGGTTGTCCAGCCTTGGCCTCCCCACTGACCTGCAGCAAATCGATGCCGCCTTCAACTTTAGGAAGAACAGGAAGACTTACTTCTTTGCTGGAGACAAATTCTGGAGGTAAGGAGAGTTAAAGTTTGTGCAAAGATTTGCATTTAATGTAATTAAAAGCCCCGTGTGACTCGACCTACCTCTTGCAATTGAGGTCATAAACTGTTGCAGTTGTGTGCTACATCTGAACTGAGTTAGTGTTTGGTGTGACCTAAACAGTACAGTAACTCAACAGCTTGTAGTTTTTGCACATATGAAGCCGTAGTGCTGCGGACTTTTGTTTTATCTGGGAAAGTGCCATCATGTGTTTCTGATGCACTTTATAAGATGCAAACCAACGAATGTCATTCAACAACAGAGGGTCTTTAAAAAAAAAGTTAAATCATGGCTATCTCACTTCTATTGTGCATATTGCACTGGTCTGCAGGCTCTTTGACCTAAACAAACAGATACAGCATGCTGGCCATGTCCACAGTCCCTGTCCGATTGTAAATCAACTTTTTAGTGCATTTACAGCCACAAACCTTGAGTAACCGAGAGTAAGTCATAATAACAATGCAGCCAGAACAGTTTGCCCTAACTAACATCCTATGTTATTAAATAGCAATGATATTAGTCATTATCTGGCTGATGCGCACACCCAATTTTTAAGAGGCTAAAACAGAGAGCAAAGCAAAGCAGCAACTGTACTTTGATAAAAGGACTGTGCATTATAAAAAAAACATTTTAAATTCTTTGGGTATGGGAGCAACCTAGTTAAGCCTAGTCTGGATTGTTACTCTACTTCTTTTACTTCCATTCTCTTCTCTAAATGATGCAAGACAGGAACAACAGTTTATGAAACTGATGGTCAGATTAGCTACTAAAGCTCTGAAGGCATCCTCTGACAAAAATGTCAATACACTACATATTTTTGGCACAGCATAGAGTTGTTCGGTGCTAAATTAATGCTATTGATGTAATACATGTCATATGTAAAACCTCAGATTTCATTGTTGTGTGTTTACAGATATGATGAGACCAGCAAGACAATGGACTCTGGCTTCCCAAAACTTATTGCGGATTCCTGGAATGGCATCCCAGATGGCATTGACTCTGCCTTCAGTCTTAATGGCATTGGTAAAATAATACTTTTAACAAGTAAATTTGACCAAAATATGGCAGGAACAGTTATTAGTATGTGAATGAATTTGCTGTACGATTCATACCATTGTGCCATTGCTGTACTCTATTTTCCAAGCAAAACTGATTTCAAGCAAGATATGGCAGTATTTAGGGAAAAGGATAAAAAGCTACACCTACAACTTTGTTAGTTACAGAGCAGTGTAGTTCTTTCCACTGAAAACAATATATGAGTATAAGGTTTCATAGGTATATCATTTTAGAACACTGTCATATTTTAATTAGTACTAAACAGAAACAACAGCTCAAACTAAGGAGGAGAAGTTTGATTCCGCCACATTTCATGGCAGCCCATGCCAAAGGAATGTCAAGACATTTGACTGGAAAATATGAATCAACCTCACTATGGTAGGAAAAGTCACAGGTTCCCCAAAAGGTCTTATTTTCTGAGAATCGTGAATGTTTGTACCAGATAATATAGAAAGCCTTCAATAGCTGTTGAAATATTGGAGTCCTGAGCAAATGGGGAACTTCCTGACTCTACCGCTTCTAGAGCCATGGCTCCAATATGCCAAGAATATGCCACACAACTGTTGCTATGCTCTGATAACGACGCTAGTGTTTTTATGTGTGTGATTACTGTCTGCACAGCAGCATTCCTTCTGGTAAAATTGCAGGAAAATCCAGTCAGCTCTATCAGTGAGTCTGGCACTCTGCCTTTGTCAGTAAAACTCCTCATATACCAGAATTGAGCAAACAGTGACGCCTCCTAGGCAAAAAAAAGTGTTTAGAGGAGTTGGCTACACGAAGAATGTCAGGAAGGCAAATAGACCATAGGGAGTATTTCTGAAGTCAGGGAGTGATCAGTGGTTTTATAATGACAGAATTATTGCATTTTTTGTGAGTGAATATCACAGGTTAGTTTACACTTACTTTTACTGCTGGTGCAAAGTGCATTGCAGCCACTATGAGAAGTAAATGGTGAATTTTTAATGTGAGACCAACAGTAAATATCTTTTGAGATTCTCACTGTCAGCCATGTATACTTGAGGTCAGAGGTGGTTAGCAAATTTTTGCCTATGGCAAGCAACCAGGGATTTTTTCATTGCTTCTCTCCTAACATACAGACAGTGCTGTAAGTGTCACATAGCCACTTCCCCACACCGTAAACAAACATATTTATATAAAGAAGGTCTTTCACCCTCTACAGAGGCGCCTCTGTGTACTTCCTCTTTAGCATAATTCAGAGAACGCGAAGCTTGACTTTGGCTTCTGATTGGGTATTTTAATTCTTGTACGCTTCTACAGAAGCTTGTTTATTTCACTGTTATTGCGTGGTAGTGTGTTTGACTCGAGCAAATTTAATAAAGAAAATTCTCAGCTTAGTAAATGTTTTAAACACAATGTGTATTCTGCTTGTCTTTCACAGACTACAGCTACTTCTTCAAAGGCAACCACTATTTCAAACTAGAAGACAGCAGCTTGAAGATCGTGAAGTTGGGTGAAATCACAAAGGACTGGCTCGGATGTTGAACATTTCCAAAGTGTCTCACAACTAACTTGTGTAATGGTGACCTCTTGAGCCTCATGAGGACATTATTGTAGTATTGAACACAACTTAAGGTCGCTGCAGTGAAAACTGTTGTAATTTTTCTATCATGGCAACTCTGCACGCTTTCCTGCAGCCTGTATAACCGGTCTCCAGATTTGTAGAACGCCACCTCTGAACCTTCTTCGTAGGCTGAACATATGCAACTGGATCTTTGCTACATTTCTCTGTGACTTTGACATTTTATTTGTTATGCTGTTATGCAGATTTATTACAATATGCACCCCATCTTTTATTATTTTATAGATTTTTTTTTTTCCAAGTCAGACATCAGGTATGTCCACACTGCTTTAAATGCAGTGCTATACTGTGCTGGTCAATATTGCCTTTTTATACAAATTTGATTTCTTTAACACCATATGAGGAAATCATGTTGGCTTAGAATTATTTCAGTGTAATAAGTGCCGTTTTATAATTGTATCTGTTTAATTACTTTTCTCATTGTTGTGCACTACATTTGAAAGAATGAATTTGCACAATGTGACCGAAAATGGTGCTTTTAGAGATCGCTTTTTGCATATAGTCCTATATACATTATATTCTGTATAACTATGTCTGATCGGACTACTTAGTATCCTCTGGATGTATAAAAGTAGTATTCCCAGACACATTATCCTTCATTTGGTTAGCACTTTGTTTAGGACTATACAAGGGAGTGGCACAATAGGAAGACCAAATTATTCCCGTGTCAACTCCATGTTACATTTCCCTACACTAACGGTACAGAAAGATTAATGGCACAGGTTGCCTCTAGAGGCTGTATAGGTTTCATGCATAATGGAACCATGACAAGAGTACCGCAGTAGTATTGCTTAATTATCTTTTTTACATGTTTTTTTTCCTTGTGATGGTTTGTTTATGCTTTTTGCACTGTCATCAATAAAGATGGTCAATATAATAAATCTACAAAGTTGTGAATGATTAGCCATGATATGTGATCCTTATGCGCTAGGTACCAAAAAAGAAAAGTGGGAGATCATATACCTGAGCTGCGTTAGTGCACTGCATACATACTCTTGCAACTTAAAGATCTGAATATAACACATTAGTGGTAAAAGTAGATCTATAATGCTTGTGTCATGAACTTACACCAGTGTTGCTCTGTCATAGAGTTCATCTTTATGATATATAGTAATGCTGGCACTTCTTTAAATTTTAAGGTTCTATAAGTAGCAAGCGGGCTAACTTTAAAATAATCAGATATAAAATTCATTGAATAGAGCAAACGGACTTTATCTAAACCCCTACAAAGACTATAATTTGTTATGAAACTGTGCCATCTTGTGGACATTTATGATAAATGTATAGCCTTTGCATAAAATCAGTTATTTGCTCGTTACACCGCGATCGTCCTAACTTTCTTTAGCGTTTACTCCCCCGGGAGTCCTAACCAGTGTTATTTTATCAAAGCACACAGCCTACGAGACAATTTTAATCTTTTCCTATCTGAACCAATTTCTTTCGAGGCGTCTAAATGGGATACCACTATATTTTAGATACTGTCGAAAGGGTACTGTCTAAAGTCATTACCTTGCAAATGTAGTGACAGTGTACAAACGTTCACTTAACAGTCTTAATTCCCCACTGCACAGCACGCACGACGGAGGTGGAGCTTGAAGCTACCGGTTTTGCTCTCGCGTGCTTGAGTTTTGTACTCGTCGTAACTCGCGCTTGATACCGTTTGGCTCAGCAACAAATGAGAACAGGTTCTCTGTTGAGGAAGTGAGATGGTAACATCACGGGGCTACAAACTAGAACATCAGCCGCCTGTCATTTCGCTCACTGGACTACGATGCCACCGCAGCGAGTAAGTGCCTTGCCGAGGCAACAATCTCTGCTTTTGCCTGCGGTCATCAACCCGTTTGTCCAAGACACCAAACTAAGCAACGCTGCTATAATTAAAGTGAGTATTTCTTCTTCTTTTTCTTTTTCTTTTTCTTCTTCTTCTGCTTTTTTAAGAGATTGGACAAAGGCAGGATTTTAAAGAATGCTCGTTTGGTAACAGTGTTTCATAGTGTGACATAGTGCACTCAGGCTGCTGTATCCAGGGCCTGTAATCTTCTCCAACACGGCTTTGACAATCAGCTTGTAAAGCCTCCTATGCAGCACAACAGACTGAGCCACTGGGAGCTTTCTAGAATGCTTTCCAGCAATGTGGATTTCTAGGCTCGTGCATATTTCTGCTAGGTGGGAGGTCAGTTTTCAGCCAGGCAGCAAGTGACTTGAACACCAGGGAGGTTTGAGCCTGTAATTAATGTGCATAAATGTACTCCTCTGCTTGCAGTGTGTCTTGTTGGGAATTTTCTTGGTCCCTCTTCGAGCTATCTTTATAAGTCTGGTTCTGATGGTGTTATGGCCAGTGTCTGTCATTGTCACCTTCAAGCTACCTCTGAAAGGAGCTGTGGAGCCAAGCACAGGATGGAGAAGGTAACTATGGATACCAGTAACATCCAGTCTTTCTCAGAGTTGGCCACCTAAAGCAAAACAATAATAATATATTTAGCTTATTCTTGACATCAGTTTTGTTTACTTGCAATTTTTTTGTTTACTTTTGCTTATTTATTTTTTTAAAACTTGGTTGCCCAGAAAAAGTGAGTTTGGCCTACTGTTTGGCTAATCTGGGACATCAATAACCCATTTGCCTTTTTTTACTGCAGACATTTTGTTTGCTAAGCAACTGCATTCACCTTGCACGCCATCTTATCACCATCTGTCAAAGTGAATTGAACTACTACTACTAAACGCTTTGAACATATCTATCAAACAATAAACATACTGAGCTTTAAGTTTTGCAAAAGTAATCAATTGTACTGAGGTGAGAAGAAGGATAAAAAGTCAGTTTTCGCTCATATGCTTTACAGAAGTACAAAATGCCAAAAAAAATAATAGTTCCTGTAATAATGAATTAGCAGCTACTTGTGTTCATGTCGACTCATGCTTTTCTAGATCATATCCTCTTCACAAGCAATACCTCACCTCAGTTTCCTTCAGAAAAGAACTAGTCGGTGGTGGGGGGTTAAGGGGAACTGAAAATTATGTTTTAGCCACTTTGTTCACCTCTAATGTCTAAAAGTAATAACAGACATTATAATTATAATAATTTTATATATCTGTTTATATCTTGTATGAAAATGACTCATTCCACTGGACTTATTAAACAGTATGTCTGTAAATATAGTCTGAAAAGGACAATTAGTTTTGTAGTCTATTCAAAGGAGCTTGCAAAGAAAAGCGTCTGGACGTCTTTAAGTTGCTTGAAGACGTTTCACCTTTCATCCGAGAAGCTTCTTCAGTTCTAAGGTCAAGGTCTTTTTTTTTGACAGACTCTAATAATTTCAGAGTGGTTAAAAGTTTTCAAAAGTTAGGCTGTTACTACAAAGCTTTATGTCAATGAATTTATGTTGTATTGCAGATACCAGTGAAAATCGCCACCCAGCTTTGTCGAACCACAGGTTTTTTAACCACTGACCACGTCTTGATAGTTTGTTTGCATTAGTAAAATGATGAACCATCCTTCAGCTTACAGGCTGTATACTATTTTTGGAGCCTGTAACAAATTGCTCAGAAGCACAGAAAGTGTGACATGATAGTTTAAAGCAGGGCATAAGCCCACACTGCATAAGGAAGGAAGTGAAACTAAACCATAATAACTTGACTGATAGTATATGTTAAAACTTTTTACTGTAAGAGCTGATTGATTAATGTATCTTTAAATATTCATGTTTGTATTCTCTTAATTTGTTTCATATTAAGTATGTGAAACTAAGTTCATAATGTCATTCATCATTTTGTATCTCTGACTCCATAGCAACACCCCTTCCTTCCTTTCTACAGTTTTTGAGGAAGCAATCGGCAACAGTAACATACTTTGCGCTTTAAGGTTAAAGAAAAGCACGAAATTGTGAAACGCATCCTGTTACCACAACACATCAGTCAATATACGGAGCCGATTAACAAAGAAGGTCTAAATAAACCCATTAAAATATTATACCAGCCCTTTTTATGTAAAGAATTTAGGATTTTTTCATGCAAAGATTCTTGCACTGTTGTGTAGAATAGACAGTCACTTCCCATTCACATTTTTTTTCATTCACAAAAATTCAGCAATTTAAATTTATTTTTTTTATCTCCAGATTTTTGTGTCAAAGAGTGATGGCTGCCTTGGGGAGGGCTTACTTCTTCAGCATGGGTTTTCGAGTGGTGGTCAAGGGTAAGCAGGCCAGCAGCCATGACGCGCCCATCCTGGCTGTGGCCCCCCACTCCACCTTTTTTGATGGGATTGTCTGCGTTGTAGCTGGCCTGCCCTCCACTGTCTCCCGTGTCGAGAACCTCGCCACACCCATCTTTGGCAGTAAGATACTTTTTGCATGATTGTTTCGAACAGGAAAGTAGGGACAAACTGTGTTTGTGATAGTCCATCTCCATCTGCCTTCATCTGAATGCACAGTTTCCCACTCTCTATGAAATGTGGGAGAGCTTGTAATATATATACAATGGAATGTCATCACCTTACTTGCTGCCTATACTGGGTATCAATTAGTCCACTACTTTGGAGTTGTCGTTGACATAAATCCTTGTTATTGTAAGTAAAATTTACAAATGCACTCTATGAAGTAAACACGAGCCAAGACATTGATTAATATAAGCCTTTTCATCCATCTTTTTAAAAGTAATAACAACACGTAACTCGTTTCATTTCATATCTGTCACTTGTGATTTGTTAAACAGTGATATCACTCTGTCTTATTTAACACTTACAAACGAATGCAAATAACCAAAGCCTGTGCACCAGATTAGTGAAAAATATGATCAAGATTACTATATTCTTTTGCATGTTCATTACCATTAATCTTTCGTTCTCTCTTTAGGGTTCCTTCGGAGTCTCCAGCCAGTGTTGGTATCTAGAACAGACCCAGACTCCCGGAAGAACACAATCAACGAGATTAACAAGAGAGCCAAGTCAGGAGGCCAGTGGCCACAGGTCTGGCACTGCACAGTCATTCTCAATAAAAAATGACTTTTATATGAATTTATTCTTTGTTTACAAAGGAGCAAAACTGTATTCAGTGTTGACTCAGATTACTTTAAAAGCAATCTTTGCAATTTTGAGGGGTATTATTTTACCATTCAGCAAGGATGCTTTTTTTTTTTCAGGTTCTTATATTTCCAGAAGGAACATGTACAAATCGCTCATGTCTTATCACGTTCAAACAAGGTAAGATATAAAGTGTACATTTTGTGTAGTGTAATCATTAGTTTAATTTCTATCAGCATGTCAAATGTAAATAAAAAAGATAACAACATTTTACTATGCAAAACTTAGATCTACTACTGTATTATAGAACATTTAGTATTTTCTCTTAACATAAATCAAATCCATTTAATACATCGATTTCATAACAGAGAGTGCTTCTTGGTACGTTATTCCATGTAATCAATATTGGATGTGGTTTGTGTTTTAACTTTTTGTTAACTGATGCCTATAAAAGTGGTTCTGTATGTGGTGAGAGAATGGAGAAGTCATAGTGAAATTATATCGTTTTACAGCTATGCACTTCATGTTTAACTACACGCTGTGTGGTTTTTTTATTTTAATACCTTTTGTTCCCCACGCCACTTTTAGGTGCCTTCATTCCTGGTGTTCCTGTGCAGCCTGTGCTTCTGAGGTATCCTAACAGACTGGTAAGTAGGGTTGTGACAGTAATAGATTTTCATTTTTCATACATATACATACACAGCCAGTAATATCTGTTCAGTGATGTAGTGCAAAACTATAGGAATAGTGTATATATTGGATTCCCTGTTGGATTTGTAGATTTGCTCACAAACAAATGAACAGTCGTAATTTTTATGATAGTTTCATTTTATTGGAGAACGATTTACTTTCTAAATCTTTTACCTGTTTT